TATCTTTTGATGCTCGATCGATTTTTCGGCACATTATTTATCCAGCATATTATCTTCTATATGGAAATGTAGGTGATGAATTAAGTGAACTTGATGGTAAAAAGAAAAATAATCATTGATATAGATTGAACAGTTTTAAATTTCTTTTCTCTTTATAGCAAATCCTGACAGTAGTATGTCTATTTCTACTCATGTCTTACTAGCTTTTCATATGTTATTTGTAAATATTTTACTCATTAATCTGCTTATTGCAATGTTTAGGTAAGATGATGAAAGATAAATTATGATCTATGAATTTGTTTGTTTTTTTAGTTATACATTTGAATCTGTTCAAACACATACTGATCTTGTTTGGCGTTATGAACGATATTTATTAATTCGTACATATTTTGATCAACCACCACTTTTTCCTCCATTAACTATTATAACACATATAATTGAATTTATTAAATTAATTTATAGATATTTATTAAATCATAGGAACAAAACTGAAACAAAAATATTTAGTAAGTTTTTTAAAGAATAAAAATGATTTTTATATTATTTTAATTTGATCAGAAATAATTGGAGCTAATCGAAAAATTGATAAAGATTGGTCAGAATTTGAAAGTTATGCTACAAATCATTATGCGCAATCATTAATTACTAATCAAAAATTATCAACATCGATTCTTCTTTCATCAAAAGTACGTCAAGAACAACAATCATTTTCGGATATAACAAATCTTAATTCACGAGTTCAATCGAACACAAATCACATAGATATGAAAACAATTATAGATGAATTGGTATCATTAAGAAAAGCTGTTCTAGATCTTCGTACTTATTCCGAAGAAGTAAGATTAAATAGAGAAATTATCTTTTAAATTATTATTTTTGTTTTTTATTATTAAAAGATGAATCGATATATGCAATGGATGATGGATGCAATGGAACGTGTTAAAATGTCCAAAGAACCAAAACCGAAATTGAAATCAGCAATAACTACAGATAGTTAGATATACTAATTAATTCTATTTTATTTTCTATTTATTTCTTTTCTCACAGATATTAAACTAATTGATAATTAAACATTCCTGTGATAAATGTTTGCAACTATATCTTTTACTTTTGTGCTGTGAATTATTTTTGAATATATATTCTATTATATTGTGCAATAAAGTTTATTCAGTCATATACATAATGCTTAATTGAACTTTCTCAAAACTTAGAAATTTGACTAGGAATCATTCCAGTTTTAAGTGGAACGGATGAATATGACATCTTCAAAACACGAATAAAAAAAAATCTATTACTACAATTCCTGCGGGATTTAATTCTTCGAGTACTATAGTAGCAAAAATACTACACATGTTGTATAATTATTTTTTGACAACATAATTTATAAAAATCAATATGTAATCTTCTGGAATGAAGCTATAAAGAATGCGTCAGGGTATGAATCTGGTGAGTGTCGGGTATGTGAGTGTAGGTGTGGGCATGTCGATCTTTATATGGGCGTCAATGTGGCAACCGAAGTGGAGATATCAGTGTGAGTGGGAATGGAAGTAGGATTGTGGGTGTAGATGAGATACATCTGTTAAACAATACTCATACCAAAACCTATTCATACCCGTATTCTGACCACCTATGGACATATCCTAATCTAACAGTCTGCTTCAATTCAATCCAGCAGAAATCATTTGGGACTCAATGAGTTAAAATGTGAAAAACAATGTAGCTCTTGTTGCTAAGCGCAGGAAGATTGTTTTTATTCTATCTATTTTGAGACACATTTCTTCATCATTCTTTTACTTAATCCTCCAGAACTGCAGTAAGGAAGTAGTTCATATGTTGTAGTGAGACGTTATTGATATGTAGTCTTCGATTATGTATCAGCAATGTCTGTTGGTACGGAGAGGGAAACTTGTTAAGGCATTTGTCATGGCCTGTAGAAGGAGGATGGGTGCAAATTTCTATCCTATTTACTGTAACACTCCTTTTAGATCGTAGTTCACAAAAAATGTCAGATCAAATATAACTTATTCTCTTCTTGTTATGGAAGCTTAACAGAATATGAGAATATGATGATGTGTGCACTCAACATCTATTTTAGAAAAGACAATACTTCTGGAATGTGTAATCTCAAAAATGTAGCCACTAATTTTAAATGTATTGATTATTGATATATAGGAATATATGGTTCTCTATTAGAAGAAGGTAAAAGTTTCTTATAATCTTTCACACATTTTGTAGCAAACTCGTTTTAACTTGAATCGGTTCGTGTCCATACTGACAAAACTAATGCCGTCTAAATACTACTAACATAGCCTTTATAAGTCACATATTTGTATTATATAATTTCAGTTAATTGTAGCCGATAAACAAAATTTAGATAATAAAGACGTTATGAAGAGTCGTCATGCAATTGAATGTTCCTTATTGGCATTGCTAATAAAAATTCATTAAGTGTCAAGTTTTAAATAATAGTGTTTTTTGTCAATTATAAACTTTTCACAGTTTATTTTCTTAAAAATACCGAGAGACTATTAGATTCATTATCAAATTGAATTTTTTTATAAGAACTATTCACAGATGGTTTCATGCAAAAACATTCAGAAGTAGAAGCATGTGGTTTTGTTGATGACGAATTAGTTCCTTGTTGTGACTTAAATGGTCATAGAAATGCTTTATCTTCGCTGTTTGCTTATTCATAACTAATTTATTAGAAGAATCCGGATTTGTAGTTCTATTAGATTATAATTGAGAAGTAGAGTAAGAAATCTTAGTAGTTGTCTCTGCCGTTGGTTGTCATTGCTGCCCTTCGTAGGTAATCCACATACTCAAGTTCAATATAAATTTATTGCCATAGAGGTATTCAAGATAATTCTATGGAAGGTTTTTTAAAGCCGTAGTGAGCACTAGCTAATTTTCCACGTATGCTAGCAGGTGTGTTAGTATCATCATCAAGACTTACAGTAGCAAGAGCACCATGCTCAAATGAATTTTCATCAGACCAAAATGCTCATAAAGCTACTTCAAGAGCATTAACAATATATCCTTTGCCTTGAATTCCATCTTCACATCCACTTGGTCTCTGACAAGAACACTCAGCAATCGTTTTACATGTCATCATGTGTAATTTGTCCGCTACGGTTAGAAAATTCAACAGTACATAGTGGGGATCAATAGCAAAAACGTGGTACTAGTGCTAGACGCATAAGAGCTTCATTACCAGCAACTTTATCCTCACTGTAATAGATGTGAAATTTATTAAAAATTTTTTCATCGCAAAAGGTTGTCCATTTGTTCAGCTGTAATGTTATATTTCTTAGCAAAACGATTTTGACAACACTCAAATGTAAGTAGTGAACCACAAGTAGTATCGCCAATGTCAAAACAATATCCAATCCGTGATATGTATCTTTATCTAAATTATCATTTGCAGTTAACCAGCTGATTATAAAGACTAACACCACGTCTAGTCATCAGTGCTTTAGCCAAACGATGTGGCGTAGAGTGTATCATTAGTGAACATTATAATAGTTATTTTATTTATTCTATGATTGGTGAGAAGATATCTATTGAACTGGCAACACATAACACCCTTGAGTACATGCTTTTTTCCATCATACCTCTTTATTCGATTTATCTTACTGATGTCGAAATGTAAAGATGACAAGATGTTAAAATCTCGAATAAAAGAAACTATGGAAAATCAAGGGTGTGGGTGTGGGCATGATTTGGGAGTAGAAACGTACACCTACACCTGCAGTCACAGTCACAAACACTCGTACCTATACACCCCCACTTCCAAATCTATACCCACACTCATGTTCACCTTGCAAGCAGAAGAAAAACGATTTCTGACTGTTGTTATCCAATGGTCTGCTGGTACATCCAAGGCCAATTCACGGACAACATTCAATCAAAATCATAACAATACTCTTTATGATCGATATAATGACGGTATCATCAGCTCGTCAGAAATTTCTTTCTGGTTTGTCATTAGTTGTTGGAACGAAAAAAAAAAGATGTAAAACATATGTATAATTCAAGTTAAGTTGTTCATTAAGATGCTGCGCATTGTTCAGTTTTGCTTTGCATTAAAATTTTCTTTTTCTTATGAATAAAAACTCTATAAATGAAATAAACATATTGAATCTTTTCTCATCAACTGACAAATAATTTGTATTGATTCGATGTTTAAATAAGTCAGCATATTCACCTTTCGATCTTTTTGCATTTTGGCATATTTATCTTTCAACATTTTAATCGACATCTTATTTTTCGACATTTTTATCTTTTGATATTTTTCTTTTCGACCAAAGTAAGATTTACTCTTTATTCAAACAATTCTCACATGTTCAATTAGTGATTTACTCCATACACTTTCTTACTATTACACATTGCTTTATTGACAGTAGATGTGTATATCCTTGTTTATACGAGAAAGCGACCATTATTATATAATTCAATTATCAATGGGTTACTTGAAAAAAAAAAGAGAATTCGAAGTGCATAAGAAAAAGCTGAGATTATCATCGTAAATGCTATATGCAAACAGATTCATACGAAATTACGAGCTTCTAATCAAAGTTTTAGACAAATCTTACCGACATATGTACAAAAATGTCTTAACAAATTCTACGACAATATGGCAATATGTGGAGACTTTTTCGACAGGTTTTGGAGATTAAAAAAAACTACGTATATCATTTGATCGCGTTTGTCAAGTTATATTTCAATGAAAAGTAAGAATTCTGAAATAAATTCACAGATAAATCCAACAACTAAACCATTTAAACTCTATGTGACGACATTTATACAAAAAAATTGAAGAATAAAAAGTGCCGAACAGTCTTTATTGCATGCAAAAAAGAAAGAGATTTATATGTATATGAAAACACATATGACATTTGAGTTAAAAAACGATGATTTTGTCAGCAATGTTACGCTCTTAGGAGTCACAGCTCCTAAGACCCCAAGGAATTTCGTTGCGGTTATTATTAGATTGGGAATTATTTAGTATTACTCTTGTCCTTGTCCTTATGTCTTCGGCTAGGAAGGTTCGAGTCAACTAAATCTGTATTCAATATTTTCCCCGAGCGTGTTTCGTTTCTCTTTTTAGGTTTTGTTTGTGTTGGAGCTACAGGATCAGCTGTTGATATCGGTGGTAATCGGTTGTCCTTAGTTTGTTTATCATTGGTAACGGAAGACCGATAATCATCAGGCATTGGTTGATCAAGACGCTGTAATTTTTTAGGAGTTTCGTGTGTACGGAATTGAGATGTATTCGATGTCGACGATGTACCTTTTGAGTTCCTCATAGCAGATTGCGGCAAAGGAACAGTGTCTTGTGGAAGGTAGTTTTGTTCTCGTGTCATAAGGTCACCATGTTTATTCACATTGAAATGATTTATCGGTGCTGGATTTTGTGGTGGAGCTCGACTTGAAAATGTTATGTTTTCAGACGATTCGACTGGCATTTTCGAATTCTTATCATCTAGGACAGATGGTCTTTGCATCAAAGTTGTTCGCATTGAAGCAGCACATTCACCTGCGGTAGTAATTGATTTGGTCTCGCGCAGTGACAATTTATGCAGCTTATTGTCATGTGGTGTTTTTCCAGAATAATTGATTGAATTAACTGGGTAAAAAGATTCTTCAATTTGTGAAGAATATATATTCGATCTTGGTCTGTTGAGAGACGCTGTGTTAATCACTTCCTCAGATTGAGGTCCAAAAGTAAAATGTGAGGTCATATTATGATGTTTAACCCTTTCTTTATTCCTTGGCAACGTTGGCGACGAGATTGGATGATTCGTAGACTCATCTGAATAAATATAGCGAAGTCTTCTTGGATTTTCGTATTTTTCTGCACCTGCTGCCTCATTATGTTCCGGTAAATGAACAGTAGAAATAGCACCGCCCCTCCGCGTCGGGTATATATTTAAGTTCGGATCATGTGCAATTATTTTAGTACTCATTTCATTCGAATAAGGTTGATGTGGTGCAGATGAGATATCTGGAGATAATTCTTCTGATGGTTGCCACATTTCTCCTTCATAAGCAATCCAGTTGCTCAAGTTTAACATAAATTTCTTAGCATAGACATATCGAAGCCAACGTTGAGGTAGTTTTTTGTAGCCATAGTAAGCACCAGCTAATTGACCATATATGGCAGCAGTTGTATCAGTATCATCACCAAGATTTACAGCGGCTAAAGCACCTCGCTCAAATGAATTTTCATCAGACCAAAAAGCCCATAAAGCTGCTTCAAGAGCATTAATAATATATCCTTTACCTCGAATTCCATCATCATATCCACCTGGTTTTTTATAAGAACCTTCAGCGATTTGTTTAACCTCATTACAAAGAGGTTTTCCACTAAACCAATCCGTATGTTTAGCATAAAACTGTTTATCAAGAAGTTGATCTTTTCTGTAACCTTGAAGAGCAGCAACAATGAGAGCACCATAGTAACGACATGCATCATAAGCTTTTATATCACCATGAGTGATCTGTCCACTATGACCTGAATATTCAACAGCATATGGTGGAAAACGATAGAAAAAGAGTGGTACTGGTGCAAGACGCATAAGAGCTCCATTACCAGCGACTCCATCCTCACTGCAATAGACGTCAAATTCATTGATGAGGTTTTTTTCACCGGAAATATAGTCTATTTGTTCAGGAGGGATGTTATGTTTCTGAGCAAAAACCGCTTGACGCTGTTCGAATTCTTGTAATGATTGACTCGTAGCCGTACCAATATCAAAACATTTTCCGGTTGATGACATGTATCCTTGTGTAAACCACCATTTATAACGAACTAGCTGATCATAGAGACTGAAATCACCTTTGGATACCAGTGAGTTAGCTAAACAAAGGGCCATAGAAGTGTCATCGGTGAACTAAAACAGAATGATATTAACTATGATGTAACTGGTAGGAGAAAGACTACTAATATCATTCTAATTGTTACAAAACATTCATATAGAATAAAAAACACAAGAAGAGAAAAATTTATTCTGATGTTAAAAATACTTTTCAAATGTTCTTGGATAAGATTTAATTCTATTCTGTATTTCTAACATCTGTTTTTCTGATAAATTCAAATGCTGGCACACTATTTGGCAAGTAGTATATACCTAAAAAGCTTTTTTTTTCTATTACGAATTATAACATAGAAAGAAGAATCTGTCTGATTAACTTCTTAAGTGTCTAAAATGCTATACTTCAATGTACGCGATCGTGTCTGTAATTACATGTGTGTAATACAGACAAAGTTTTTTTTCATAATGAATAATGATTGGGCAAAACAGGAAAAATGATGGTTTTGAATAAATATGAAATTATCTATTAAAAGTCGAAAATGTATTAAAACATATATTATCATTTTTATATGGAACAATGTCGAATGAAAACATTTTTATAAATATTTCTTTCTGAAAAAACATACTAAAAGCATATGCATCAATTTTTTCCTTAAAACGACCAAGGATGTATGTCTAACTGCTATATTCATAAAAAGACATGTCTTTCTATTGATGAAAAGTGAAACTTGAACTAAGTCTATTATGAGACATTAATATACTGTGAAAATGTGTCTTTAATATTAAAACCTGATTTGTAAAGTATAGATGCTACTAGATTCATACAAAGTTGTTTTTAGTTTTGATCGAAACTGTTGATAAAAGATTTTCTCAGATAAGATGGAAAGGAAGCAAATAGACTAACTTTCTATCTGATATACTGTCTGGAAATTGCTGGCATCTATTGATAAAATACACTAGCAAGTCCTATTTTATTTACTTGCAAAGATTCTTCGAAGTTTGTATATTTAAAAAAAACCTGACTTTCTATTTCGATTTTCAGAAAAGCGTAGCGAATAATTCTCAACTACAAGATTGTTTTTTGTTCTCCACATTTATGCGCCATCTACAGGAAAGCAATTGTCAATATTACACTTTTGTCTTTAATAACACCAGCGAAAGTGTGAAAGTCAATATTCAGCTGTAGACTCGCCGGCGGGTCCCCTGGAACATGCGAAATCCTGATGAGTTTGTAGGAAGTCTATGAAAAACGTGTAATTTCTAGAGATTCACTTGAGAATTGATGAAGAAGGACATACCTTCTATGATGCAAACCCAGCACCCACTTCAAATAACTATTAAAGAAAATCAATTTCATTTGTTATATTAAGATTTATGATGCTAACAACTATAGAAGTAAGTGTTATTTTCAACATATAAATGACTTTTTTTTTCATTTATGAGGGTAGAAGATATGAGAAAATCATTCTCCCTCCTCTCGATAGAGTAGAAAATAGCAGGCTTCAACACTGCATGAGACTTCACGAAACTTCGGCAAGCTTCTTTGGATTTCAAAAGACTTCGTAGAGTTTCAGAAGACCTCACGAGATTTTTAGACATACAGACTGAAATCTCTGCTGTTTTCTCCTCCGCCCTCTCTCTGCCTCTCCCTCCACCGCCAACGCGAAGCGTATATAAATGTGATGATAAATAACATCGTATCCGGCCTTTGACAGAAGTTGTAATAATCACTGTGGATTTACGAGAAATCCTCAGTGAATAGCTCGTAAAGTCAAGAGAAGCTCTATTGTGATTCTTCGAGAAGTTTGTAAAATATTTCTTAAGGAATCTTTTAAACGTAATAGACTAGAATACTGACTTCAGACTATCGAAAAAAAGTACTGTGATAGCAAAGTGACATAGGTACGTTCACGGATGTGCTACTGGAAATTAAGAGTGGAAACAGTGACCTTCAATATTTTGAAAGACTCCAAAAAATTCTATGAGACTTCAAGCTCAAAGCTTCCACTATTCCTTCTCTTACCCCGGGAAATTATCTTACGAAGGAATCATCCGAATTGATACCCACTGTTTGAGTGCATATTGTGCTTATAAGAACATCTCGGTGAGACTAGCAAAGTTCTAAAAGAATTCGTCCCCTGTATGCCTTTGGATCCAAATTATCGTCATTTTACTGAGTTTTTAATCCAGCTTTAACTATATACCAAAAAATCAAAGAACAAAAATTCAACGTAAAACTGTGTTCATAGATAGATTTAATGATCCGTAGAATATCCTTAAAGTTTCAGTTGAAAATAATCTTTTTTTTCTTGTCAAAATATTGAATTTTCGAGTGGACTCGATTTTTGTATCATGCCCGTCGCAAGTGATTAGGTTTTAGAAATTCGATACCTCGACAAAAGAAGATTGTTTTCAGCTGAAACTTCTAGGATACTTCACGAATGATTCGATCTATATATGAGCAAAATTTTACATTAAAATTTCTTTTTTTTTAACTTTTCAGTATTTATCTAGAACTAGGTCGAAAACTCAGTAATATGATCCCAACTTGGTTCCAAAAGCTTATGAAAACGAAACCTGTAGGCTTCTTCTAATCTTACTGAGACTTCCTCGTCAACCTAATGGGACCTCAAACGGTGGGTATCATTTCGAGCGGTTCTTTCGTCAATTGAGAGAATACTGAAAGGTATCTGTAAGATACTCAGCACTCTGCATTAAAAATATTGTTTTAAGGCGACCCCCCCCCTTTCCAAGGTTTCTCGAGAACGGCTGGGTGAAATTTTCTGAAACTTTCAGGGTAGATGGATCTCGATGAGTAAAACAAAAAGTTGTCATAGACTCAGAATTCGAAAATACTTCCTTCCTAGAGATATTTGCGACCCAAGGGCGCAAAATGATCTGAAGTTTTCCTCCCGCAAACTCTTATACTTCATTGTTTAGGGCTGAAATTTTTTCTGCAGAAACTAGGAACAAATTGAGGTGTGTCGTTTTTTTTTCTTTGGAAAATATCGTTTCTGAGGGTCAGAAGAACCAAATTACTGACGGTACTATCAAAAAGTGCGTTTTTTTTCTTATAGCGCCAATTTTGTGGTACCTAGTAAAATTCCTTAGGAAGAATATTTTCGAGAGAAAAAAAAAAGACACCCCAATTTGTTCAAAGTATTCACAGTAAAAATTTGAGCTCGATTGGTTGGAATGCGAGGGAAGAAAAGGGAGGGGGGGGGGATTTCATTTTTTTGCTGAAAAAAAACTGATTTTGAGAGAAACACAAAGAAATTTGTGTTTTTTGGTTTTTTCAGCATATTTTGTGATTTTTTTCGAGTTTTTTATATATAAGATGTGGGTTTTCAGTTCTCAAAGTGTGCTCAATGGATAGAGAGTATTTAAATCTATATACTAATCACAAAAAATGTGAAAATTTTGAGTCGGGAAAATGGAGGGGGGGGGGGCTCCCCTTAAGTTATATAATCGAGTAACCAGAATTATCTCATTTCCAAACTCCCAAGTATCCATTGAGTATCGGAAAATAACCAAGTATTGAAAAGTACCTGTGACATATCGGTAATACGGTACGCATTCGACTATTCAAAACTGAGTATTTTCAATAAGAAAAACTCTCCTCGAGAAAAGACATTGCTAATAATGATTTGAATTTGATCTTAATACATGGTGTAAGGAAGTCATAGTACCTGTCCTTTCTTAAGACCCCACGTTCCTCCTGCTTGAAAATCAGTAACAGGATATTCAACCAAAAATTGACGAGGACGAAATTCAACATGTGCACCAAGAGCATCACCTATTGCCATTCCTATTATAGATCCTTGTATTCGATCTAATATCCTTTCATCGATTAGCGTTGGTGGTTCTTTCATGTCATTTTCCAAGTCATGTGGCATTTTGATCGATCTTCGATTAACATCATGAAATTGAAGATCGAGCCAGGGCTTATCTAAACATATATAATCAACATTTATGAAATGTACTGTCTTTTAATTTCAAAAATATTCTTTTGTTCCCAACTGTTTCCATCTATGAATCTAATAGAATTATCATATAAACTAAGAAAATAATCTTTTTGAAAAACAATTATATTTAAATCTTTCACCTGATTTGTTTTGAATTGCTAGAGCACGACGATTTTTTGTTGACTCTAAAAATAATTCAATAAACAATACTGATGATCACAATAAAATACAATTATTATCAAAGAAATAATTATAAGATAAAAATAAAATGAAATTGAATCAATGATTGAAATTTACTATTCTTTTCAAATGATTTGCAGTTATGTTGAGTACTCATTATTGTGTATAGTGCTTGAAAATGAGTTTGTTTTTACTTTTTTAGAGTCATTTATTCTGAGCAAGTATTAACTTTCACAGATTTGATTAATCTTATTAGATGATCAATCAAATATCTCTTTGTGATAAATAATGCACCGTCATGTATGACGTGAATATGCAGGCTTGCTTTGCTTTTTTTATCCTATTGCTGATAAGGCGATTGAATGAAAATAAGTAATGCTTCAATACTTTTTTTTTATCATTAATACTTGTTATTACTATATAAGTGGTAAATGAATCATTACACAAGAAATAACAGAGAAATATGTAAAAAAAATTTATTGAAGTTGTTTGTATCAGTTAGCAATTTAGAGAAAATAGTAAAAGAAAAACTTACTTTTTTTAAGTATTTCTTGAAGCTGATGTACAGTGCTTTTGAAACTCTTCATAGTTTTAGACATTCTCTTAGGTGAATGTGCTTATTTCTTGTTTTGGTCGTTGAATAGTAAATTGTCATGAAAAAAAAAATTTGTTTTTCTTGTTCTTTTTTTTTCGTTTCATCTCATACTGTCGGACGTGCAGTTTACCTATTCTCCTTTCTTTCGCCACTTACATCGAAAACGACGGAAGCATATAAAACTTAATTAATACCGAATCATCAAGTAACATGCGTGACGTTTGTAAAATGTTTTTTTTTTCTAAATAGTCAGAACGTAAGAAATATTTTTCAATCATTTGGTGTAAAAAGGTTTGTAGTGATAGGAAGTGAAACCCGTCGGCCATAGAAAAGTAAAAAAAGGTTTTTAATACACCATATTTACCCACCCACAGACTCAAACAGAGTTTAAATATAATTCAAACTAGGAAGAACTAATAAAAATTGTTTTTTTTGTGAATAATATTGCCTTAGAAGACTTTACTTTTGTTTTTAAATCAAATAGTAGAAAAAAAATATTTCGAAATTAGACTTATTGATTTCTAATAAACTAAAAATATATGATATGCAACTGCTATATAATCAGAAATTTTTTTTTATACTTATTTTCACCTTGTTCAATTTTAAGAATGTCACATGGATTAAAGTTTTTAATGCAAAATTATACTGAATATTTTATTTTGAAAAATGGGTTTTATTTGATCAGACAAAGAAATCAACAAATGTTACTTGAAAAATTTGGAAACTTGTTTATTTATTAAAATATTAAGATATATTCTTCAAAAAAAAAAATCTACTAAATTACTGTTTATGTTTTGAAAATTGTATACTTTGGTTTATTCTATAATAGATGTCAAAAAAAAACATGCAATTCTATCATTTTTTACACTGTTCTATATTCATACAAAATTTAGCATTAAAATTGATTACATGCATGAATATCAATTAAAACAAAAGTACATTTTTTTTCATCGTAAAGTTTGATCGTCGATTAATCTGTAAGATATAGTCGAATTCTGTTAAATAATATCAATATGTAAGATGTACATAATTCCATCGAATTAATTAGCAATTGATTTATCAATAAATGTCAAATTATGCTCACTACTCAAATTTCAAATGCAACAAAAAAGTGATTCATTTCGATCATGTGTCCTTTCTTTAATAATGTGGATGAACATATTACGTAATAAAAAATTTTGATAATATAAATTAAACTATTTATAAATCATTGATTCTGTTCATGATATCTCATTGATTTTTTAATAAAATGAATATATTTTAATAGACAATGAATAATTAATATGAAGAAAAAAAAATCTATTTATTCGATAATAATCAATTAAAAAGTTTTATGTACATAGAATCAGAAGAAAATCATAAAGGATAAAAAGACACAATAATAATAAATTTGTATCTTTTTGAAGTAGTTTGTATAGAATATTTAATATAATAAAGTATTTTGATAACAAGGATCTTTCTAATTTTTTTAATTAGCTATTATTTGAAAGTTTATAACAATTAGAAAAAAATATGGAGTAAACATTAATTAGACTATTAGAACTTTATTCATATTTATTTTCAAATTGTTTTGACTGTTTATCAATATTATATGTAAATGAAACAATCATGTTGTTATAGTACTTGTATCAGTAAAAAGAAATTAGTAAAATTGCTACTGATATGAAGTTTATTATTTATTTAAAATTAAGAAATAGAATAATTATTTTTCAAAAATAAGTGTTCATTATGTTGTTATTAAGATCTGTTCTAAAATAAGAATAATATTCTGTTTGTTTTGTGCGTCATTTAATTCCTATTCTGGTTTTTTTTTGTTTTATTTTTCAGATAATATTAATCATATATAAATATTGGTTTACTTTATTATTATGAATTCATTGTAATTAAAAGTTGATTCAATTCAATTCTTATCATTCGTTTTTTTAACTGAAATAATAGAATGATTATAAACATAACTTTCAAATCATTCATTATTTAACTGTTTTACTTGAAAATATTAACGAAATGTTTATTAATTAAATTATAATTATTATTGGACTAAAACTATTAAATAAATACTTTATAAAAATCTCATTTCTCTTTTGAACGAGATCATTAATGTACTTAGCGAAGGATTTTGATTACTGATGAGAATTTTTCTATGAAAATATTAAAATGAATTAATAAAAAAGAAGGAATATGACTTGAGATTTTCAAACAAATTTTACACATGATTAAAAATATTCAATTTCTTATTAGACACCGAATTTGTACATCGAAAGTATTAAAAAGTAATTAATATCTTCGTGATGTCTCTACAAAGTTTTGTTTACAAACGAAAAATAATAGAAAAGAATTTCTTTATGAAATATTGGACAAACAAAATTTATACATGGTTTTAATTTTCGATTTAAAAAAAAGTGATTGTCAAAATCAAAGATTATCATCTTATGCGTATGTCATTTCTTTTATAGAATGAGATAGTTTATGTAGTATTAAACTATTTTTTTTCTTCTAAGAAAAATATTTCTTTATAGTGATTTGTTGATGAACAAACAGAATAAATAAGATTCACTTCGAGTCTGATTATATGAATATTTATTCTCGAAAAAAAAACGCAAACAATACTTAGAGAATTGCACGATGATTATTTATCTGGTATACATTAATCATGCTTTCTGTATTTCATCGGTTCGGATCAATTGTGAGAAAATTCATTGTTTCTTACAGAATATTTTCTTTTCACCATTTTAAATCAAGCGATTCACAACACGATAATTTAAACGAATTTATGTCATTTCTTTTGATTGTTATTGAATTTTTTTTATTTGTAGTCATATTGATTAATAGTGAGAAAACGAATATTTGCTTAGTCATTATTTCAAAAACTAAATATTCATAGAGTGTGGATCTGTGTCTTCTCGTGATCTTCACCAAGCCAAATCCATCCACAGTCATACCCTCAATTGTATTTTGTAAGAGACTATATTGCTCACGAACGTCTATAGTCATAATCAATGATGTAACTATTTCCCAGTAACAAGTTTCTTAATGACGCATATTTTATAGTTCGAATTTTTTTCTTTCTTATGTTGCACAGTATTGAGTGATAGTGATGCAATAATTACTAAGTTGATCTTGACTCAAATTTTACGAACAAAAAGAAATTATGTTTCGGGGGGGGGGGGGGGGGAATATTTTCATCGTATTCAATTTATTTCTACTGAAAGAACAAGTTGCGATAAAGTCAGTCACATTATCGTTTTGATACATGTCTTCTAGAAAATTTAATTTTGATTGTCATTATTTTCCATTTATTGTTTCTATATCAATCTCAAAAGATAATTTTTGATAAATAAATTTAAATATTATTCGAATTTCATAATGAAAAATATTAATTGTTCATATCCACGCTCGATTAGAAAATTTGCTAATAAGAATTAAATGTTAGTATTATAATTCTTTGCAGAATAAAACCACATACAAACCTAAAAAGTGATGAAAATGAATAATCGACGTTTCAAGAGGAATGATGTAGGAGCAGTTCAGGCAGAAAAACTACAGAAAATACTAGGAATTTGGAAAAATGAATACGATGCTCATGATTTCGTGATTGAATTTTCTTGGTTTCGGCTGAAAACGACTATAACCGAGAAGAACTGAATACCAAACATGATTATCATATAGCTGATTCCAAGTTTTTTCCATCTGACAGAGTTTTCGATCGGAAATTCACAAAATTATTGACTTCGGCTCGTCCAAGTTCACTCATCATGTCTTCTGTTTTATTCTATTGATCCTTTGCTTTAAGATAAAGTATTACTCATTGACATTTCTAAATACAAAATTGTATATGACTATAGAAGGCAGACTCTTCCTCGGATAAAAAATGTACCTTTTTCTAATAGCTCGTTCTCCTCTATACTTTATTAATATATATATACACATGAAGTCCATTTCACTAACTTATTGTTTCAGATTTCGACATATACAAAAATGTCTCACTTTTGTGATATTGAACGAACACAAACAATAGTCTCTTGAAGACAAAAATAGTTTTGTCAATAAAGAATTATGCTATTTTATAAGCATATATTTACTTAGGCCTGAGATCTTTAAATAAAAATATAAAGATAAGGAGATATTTTTAATTTTATTTTATCAAATGTTGAGGATAGTTGCTATAATTATTTATATCAAGTTCAATTCTTTCTAACAATTTATTAAAAATTTTTTTGAACTATTTTTCGCAAAAAATTTTGGCTACCTTGAATACTGCATGAGCTAATCATATTTCATTTGTTTTAAAATTTTAGCGAAGTTTTATCAGATGTTGTCACTTGCGTTCTAGTAGTACTAGTGACGAAGTATAGATTTATTTTATATAAGTTAATCATAAGCCACCCGATTCTAGCTGGCTGATTGAGGATGAATCGTCAAAGACTATTGTTCATAGAGATAGATTTGAACACAAACTTTATTTGATATATGCTTTAAATCAAACAGCTCTGAGTATAGATAAAGGCATGATAGTAAGTTACAAAAACAAAAAGAGGTATAAAATGCAAAATGTACAAAACTATTTGAGAATCATCGTTGAGTTCATACTCATCCGATGTTATTAATTATTTGACAGAAGAGGGCATCAATATAATGCCACAACAGTCATATTCGCCGTACCTAATACTACCTAATCTTTGATTAAGTAGCTCTATCGAAGGAAGTTTAATTAATTAAATAAATGAAATATTATGTACTTATGAGGTATCCAAAATAACTAAAATTTTTTTCGAAAAACTGTTCAAAAAAAAATTTTAATAAATTGTTAGAAGGAATTGAAGTTGATATAAATAATTCATAGCAACTATCCTCAACATTTCATAAAATAAAATTAAAAATATCTCCTTATCTTTATATTTTTATTTAAAGATCTCAGAACTTTTAGTCAGACCTAAGTAAATTCGAACAAAAAAAGGTAAAACAAAAATATCGTGAAAAATATTTCTTGTATGTCTGTGAATGTAT